TGTGCAATTTTCCAAACTCACATTGGTTTCGCATACAGCATCTCTGTAAAGTGTGTGTATTCAGCAGTATTCACTCTCTCCACTAAACGGCTCGTTGTAGCTCCAATAGCTCCAGCCCCCACCCTCCCTGTGAGCCCAGTGTGCTCTGATTGGTCGGGACGTTGTGAATCGCGCTGAGCTCCGTGGAGGTGTTGTTTCCTTGTTTAGGATACACAGCGAAACACAGCCAAACTCATCCTGAGCACACACAAACTCACAACCGAAGTAAAAACAATAAGTGTGGCTTGATATTGAGTAAGAAAAAGGTTGATAAACGCTGTGAGAATGGGTCTGCAGAGAGAATGGGTCTGCAGAGAGAATGGGTCTGCAGAGAGAATTTCGCCGCGAAACAATTCTTTCTGAAATGTGTTGGGATACTTGGATGAATCCCTTTTAGTTTGATAATTGGCCTGTTGGCATTAGCCAGACAGCATTGTGTGACTTGTTGAACTGGTTTACCTGCATGTGTCACGCAATAGAAATAAAATAGCATTCCTCCAGAGGGAGTTTCTCTCCCACACACTCCCCCCCCTCTCGCACGCTTGCACACACACACACACACACACACGCACACGCACATGCACACGCACACGCACACGCACACGCACACGCACACACACCCAGAAGTACTTGTAATGTGGAGAGAGACAATACATCTGGATTCAGCTTTTAGCGCATTTTACAACTTTAAGGACCTAATAGGCTCTTTCACACTGGAGTACTTTTCCCAGGAATAGTTCCGATAGTTCCTGGGATTTTGCGTTCACACCAAAAAGATCTGGAACTAGAACTTTTTTTTGCGAACCTTTTGCAAACCTTTTTAGTCCCTGCTAGAGAGCAGTTACTTTCCTGGGGAGAAAAAGGTTCCCATTTCTGATTGGCTGGGCGAATTGCAAACCACGCCCGTAAAACTCCGAAAAGTTTTGGGAAGCCGCCATTGTATTTCCTGGCATTAGCAATATTAGAATTAGCATTAGCCCAGTGCACCAACGGAGAGAGATTCATTTATGGCAACACAAAAAAAAACATGGGAGCGGTGGAGATGAGGAGGTGTCGGTGTTCTGGCGATTTACCCAGAAGGCTTCAGTAGAAGCTGCTGGGAAGACTCCCAGCAGCTTCTACTGAAACCAGTGGACTTCCGGCCGGGGACTTCGGGTGGCAGTATACGCCGTGAAGTTGTTTGCGGCCTGCCAGTAAACCTAAAGCAGAAGAAGAAGAAGTGACGTCAGCGGCTTCATTTGCCTAATCCTCCCTCAGGGACTTAATCCGGTGTGAACGCGATCTGCTCTTTAGTTCCGGGAACTAAAGAGTTCCGATGAACTAAGTACTGGGAACTAAGGATGGCAAAGTACTTGGTGTGAAAGCGCTTATTGATTCTAATAACAGACGTCTCTTTCCCAATTTCATTTCATTTTTTTTTCATTTCAAACCTTTATTTAAAGGGCCCATGTCATGGCCATTTCCACTGATCATAATTCCATTGTTGAGGTCTACTAGAATAGATTTATATTGTGCATTATTCCAAACTCACATTGGTTTCTCATACAGCATCTCTGTAAACTACGTGTATTCACTGAATTTCACTCTCTGCCTTTAACGGCTCGTTGTAGCTCCAATAGCTCCAGCCCCCACCCTCCCTGTGAGCACAGTGTGCTCTGATTGGTCGGGACGTTGTGAATCGCGCTGAGCTCCGTGGAGGTGTTGTTTCCTTGTTTAGGATACACAGCGAAACACAGCCAAACTCATCCTGAGCACACACAAAGTCACAGCCGAAGTAAAAACAATAAGTGTGGCTTGATATTGAGTAAGAAAAAGGTTGATAAACGCTGTGAGAATGGGTCTGCAGAGAGAATGGGTCTGCAGAGAGAATGGGTCTGCAGAGAGAATGGGTCTGCAGAGAGAATGGGTCTGCAGAGAGAATTTCGCCGCGATCCCAACTGTCTGTTATCAGCCTGCAGCCAGGCAGGAGAAATCAGCAGAGCTGCCTACACTGTGTGTGTGTGTGTGAGGAAGTCCGTCAATCAGCGTGGGCTTAATGTAACGGCTCCGCGGACGTAACGTAACGGCTCCACGGATTGGTCCATTTGGTTCCGGGTACCGCATGACCGTATCGCGTCATAGCTCTGGGCGTGGCTACTGGGTATCCACACGTCACAATGGCCAGGAAGAACATGAGAAAGTTCCAACGAGGCGTTTTGGGGAGGTCTTTTCTGTGTTAGAGTTTTACTCGCTACAGGGTGTACTTTGAGGGTTTTTGACTCTGCAGACCGTTTACATGCATAACAACCTTCATAACACACAAGGGGACGGGTAATAACCGTAAAAGCATGACACCTCTCCTTTAATGTAACGTTGGTTAATATGCTCGTGAAATGCAAATATCAAGCGGCAAATTCAAAATTACAAATACACAAACAGTGGACTGCCGCCCTCACTAGTTGCTCTAATGTATGTTTGAAGTTGGAGACTACGAGCTCCTGTCTCACCAGTAGGATCCCACGCTCTTGGCGATGCTGACTCATATGACTCAAAGGACTCGTATGACCAGCAGCCTTCATACATGGCTGCAGTTGAAGCTCCTTATCTATATTATTTATATACTTTCTGCCACTCACTGCATAAGTCTCTGTCTAACTCTCGATTAATCATTTCATTAGATTTCTTTGCCATCACGTAGGTAAGGTCCTACGTTCATTTACAAGGCTTGTTCCACTCTGGTAAAACAACTGGCTCACCTCACTAATGTATTTCCTCGTATCATCATATGATCAACATTTACTATTTCGAGGGGGTTCACCTTTCCTAGCCATCTCCTCCTCTCTTTTAATCATCAAGTCACATGGGGTCTAATCCCAAGTATTAAGATAGTTAATACTCCGGAGGAGAGAGAGTAAGGATCGGCGGGCCGGAGCTTGAGTAGCCTACTGTCTAAATAATTACCGTCAGACACCGGTCAAGCTCTCAGCTTCTCCGTATCGAGCTCTATGCGACTACTTTTCTGCCCCACTTTGATGAATGTATTATTCACTCGTTCGCATTGTCTCTATTCTCGTCTAATTCTCAATCATGTCTCAGCAGAATCCATGCTGTGCTGGACTATGGTGATCTGATTTATATGAATGCACCTGCCCATTACCTGAACAAGTTAGATGCCGCCTATCACAGCGCACTGAGATTTGTTACTATTTGTAAGCACTTACTCATCACTGTACCCTGTATGCCAGGGCAGGTTTGCCTTCACTTACTGTACGGAGGCTCAGTCATCGGTAATGGTACATGTTCCTCTATAAGCCATGTGGGGTAAACTCCCATCTTACATCTGCTCTCTGATCACACAGTTACATATGCCAAGGCAAGGACTGACTTAGGTACGAAGCTTTTATGTGCGCAGCTCCTCCTGCTTGGAACAGTCTTAAAAAAGATTGAAACTGAGCAATTTGGTTCCACTGCATGTTTTTAAAGCTCGGATAGGTGCAATGCTATTTGATACTGTTTATACTTGTCAATGTCGATAGGTATGTAAATGTAGCCCTGTCAATATGATGTATGATGTCCTTATTGTTTTCTGTTGTTTTACGTTTTATGTTGTAACCTACTTGCTGCAGGTCTCCCTTGGAAAAGAGTTCGATGATCTCAATGGGACCACCTGGTTAAATAAAGGTTTGAAATGAAATGCCACCTGGTAAGTTAAGATCCTTCGTCAAGTGGCCCGATCTCCTTATCTCTCATCCACTCTCCTACTTTTTGGGGGTTCTCTATATGCTCACGGCTACATTTCCCCCTTTAGATATACGATTTCAGGATCGGGGTATAATCGCCAAAGACTTAACATTTATCATATGACATGTGTCAATAAATGTTCTTTAAACAAAATGAAGTCTCTCCTGATTGAAATGAAGCTCAGCGCAAGTTCTTTCAGGAAGACTGGGTATGTATACATTCACTCCGCAGCTGCTTATAATCAGCTCATCACGGACGTCTCTTTAACCTATTACATCTCACCTCATTCTCCAGCAGCCAATCACCGTGCTGCAGCCAAACTTTGAAATGGTTCTCCTCTCTCCTGCAGTCAGCTGTGATTTCAGGTTGTCATGCTGCCGCCCGCCTCCTCCCCATCCACCTCCTTTCATCATATCCAGTGCCAGGAGAGCTAACCCAAGACCTCATCACACCTCCCCTTCATCCCATCTCCTCATCATCATCACCACCAGTGTCTAGACCCCGGGGGGGTTCCCTATATGCTCACGGCTGCATTTCCCCCTATATATATACGATTTCAGGATCGGGGTCTAATCACCAAAGACTTAACATTTATAATATGACATGTGTCAATAAATGTTCTTTAAACAAAATGAAGTCTCTCCTGAATGAAATAAAAACCTGTCTGAAAATGATCAACATCTATTTTTAGTCTTCAAACACTCCCAGAGCCCATACCTTGTTCCTCTTTGTGTTTACTTCCTGTTTGTCTTGTTCATCAGGAAGTTTCGTGCTCTCCATAAATATAAAAATGAATATTCAAAAAGTACTCCACAGTGTTTTCCGATGGAGAATCACTCCAGCTACTCTGGCCTGCAAGAGTCTACTTGTGAAAAGCACTGGTACAAATGCTTGTATAACTTCACACGTTAGGGCCATGTAGCTAATAAGTAGCATATCATAAATATAACATCAGAAAGTATTTATCAAACGCACACAGGCAGCTGTGTGTAGACCCAGTTTGACGGTAAAGGATGTATCCTAATTTATCTGGCCTCATTGCTGTGATGTGTAATTTACATGGATTTAATAGTACCACATTGTTAACCCTGTAAGGCCCCCGGTTGTGATTTTACAACATTACTTTAAGCTATCCTAAAAAAGTCAGTAAATGTTTTGTTTTTTTAAAGACTACATTTAGATTCAAAAGGTCCTTTTGTTCAGCCTCACTAGGCTATTGGATATTAAATGTGTTTATAGGTCCTCTGGCCATACACTCACACAACTTCAAAATCTTCAAACGAGCAACATCTCTTTGTTTTATTGGACTGGATTTGTCAGATTCAAGTAAGTAAAATGCTTCAAAATTTTTTTTTTTTATTATTACAATGTCTAGAACATGTACATATTTAGTTTTTGTGGAATACACAACATTTTGATTTTGATTTTGAGCAGCTTATGTCTTTGTTGCAATATTACATATGGGTCAGTGTGGTAGTCAAAATAGCATGAGCACCTGTCATGGACCCCGCCCTTCTTATATGTTCACATATGGAAATAAAACACTAATAGAAATATAATGTCTTTGATAATTCACTATAACTAAGTTCTAAATGTGTCCTCTGTTAAGATTTTGAATTAAGACCAGAATTGAATAAATGAATACATTATTTCTGATAGCAGTATTTGAAATGGTATCTTATCAGTTAATTAGTTACAAAAATACATTTAACTCTTCTTCTTTCTCTTCTTCTAACTCTTCACAGTTCTTTCTGAAATGTGTTGGGACACTTGGATGAATCCCTTTTAGTTTGATAATTGGCCTGTTGGCAATAGCCAGACAGCATTGTGTGACTTGTTGAACTGGTTTACCTGCATGTCTGCGTGTAGGGAGGGGCAGGCCGCCCTTCCCTACACGCAGATCACGCAATAGAAATAAAATAGCATTCCTCCAGAGGGAGTTTCTCTCCCACACACACTCCCCACCCCCTCTCTCACGCTTGCACACACACACACACACACACACACACACACACACACACACACACACACACACACACACACACACACACACACACACACACACACACACACACACACACACACACACACACACACACACACACACACACACACAATACATCTGGATTCAGCTTTTAGCGCATTTTACAACTTTAAGGACCTAATAGGCTCTTTCACACTTGAGTACTTTTCCCAGGAATAGTTCCGATAGTTCCTGGGATTTTGCGTTCACACCAAAAAGATCTGGAACTAGAACTTTTTTTTGCGAACCTTTTGCAAACCTTTTTAGTCCCTGCTAGAGAGCAGTTACTTTCCTGGGGAGAAAAAGGTTCCCATTTCTGATTGGCTGGGCGAATTGCAAACCACGCCCATAAAACTCCGAAAAGTTTTGTGAAGTATTGTATTTGCTGGCATTAGCAATATTAGAATTAGCATTCGCCCAGTGCACCAACGGAGAGAGATTAATTTATGGCAACACAACAAAAAAACATGGGAGCGGTGGAGATGAGGAGGTGTCGGCGTTCTGGCGATTTACCCAGAAGGCTTCAGTAGAAGCTTCTACTGAAACCAGTGGACTTCCGGCCGGGGACTCCGGGTGGCAGTATACGCCGTGAAGTTGTTTGCGGCCTGCCAGTAAACCTAAAGCAGAAGAAGAAGAAGTGACGTCAGCGGCTTCATTTGCCTAATCCTCCCTCAGGGACTTAATCCGGTGTGAACGCGATCTGCTCTTTAGTTCCGGGAACTAAAGAGTTCCGATGAACTAAGTACTGGTAACTAAGGATGGCAAAGTACTTGCTGTGAAAGCGCTTATTGATTCTAATAACAGACGTCTCTTTCCCAATTTCATTTCATTTTTTTTTCATTTCAAACCTTTATTTAACCAGATTGGTTCCATTGAGATAATAGATCTCTTTTTCAAGGGAGACCTGCAGCATATAGGTTCCACATGAAACATAAAACAATAAAGGACATCATACATTATATTTACAGGATACATTTACATAGTTATCGACATTTACAAGTTCCCATAGTATCAACGAGCATTTCATTTAGCCTAGCTTTAAAAACATGCAGAGGAATGAGATTGCTCAGTTTCAATTCTTGCTGAAGATTGTTCCAAGTGGAGCTGCGCACATAAAAGCTGTCTTACCTAAGACAGTCCTTGCTCTTGGCACATCTAACAATACTACATCATGCGATCTCAGACAATAGCTGCTTGCAACTCTCTGTGTTATCAGAGAGCAGATATAATACGGGAGTTTACCCAACAAAGCTTTATAAATAAACGTGTACCAATGACTGAGCCTGAGTAAGTGATGGCAAACCTGCCTTGGCATACAGGGTACAGTGATGTGTAAGTGCTTTACAATTTGTGACAAATCTCAGTGCGCTGTGATAGGCGGCATCTAACTTGTTCAGGCAATGGGCAGGTGCATTCATATACAACAAATCACCATAGTCCAGCACAGGTAAAAAGGTCACAGTGACTAGCCTTTTTCTGGCCTCGAGTGAGAAACAGGACTTGTTTCTGAAAAACAAACCTAGCCTAACCCTCAGCTTTTTAAGCAGGTTATTGACATGAAGTTTAAAAGAGAGACAATCATCAAGCCAGATACCAAGGTATTTGTAACAGGTAACCACTTCTAGTACTTGTCCTTGCATAGTCACAATATCTAAAACAGGCTCTGGTGTCTTTTTAGCTTTTGAAAAGAGCATTACCTTGGTTTTCTCAACATTTAAAAGAAGCTTAAGTTCAGAGAGCTGAGTCTGAATAATGTTAAAAACAGCCTGTAATTTAACAACAGCCTCCTTAATGGAGGGACCTGCACAATACATCACGGTATCATCCGCATAAAAATGTAAAGTAGCTTCATCCACATTTTCACCTAAACTGTTGACATCAAAGTGAACACATTGGGACCTTTCAGAGAGGTAGTTCACAAACCACCCCACTGCATGGCTGGATATGCCAATACTGAGTAGCCTCTGCTTTAAGATGCGATGATCGACGGTATCAAACGCTTTGGAAAGGTCAATAAATAGAGCTACACAACTCTGCTTATTATCTAAAATACTCGTAATGTCATTCACCACTTTCATTGTGGCAGTGATGATGCTATGTTGCTTTCTGAAGCCTGACTGATGTTTAGACAGGATGTCATTTTTACATAAAAACACCTTTACCTGTTCACTCACTAGGCGTTCAAGAACCTTAGCCAGAACTGACAATTTCGAGATGGGCCTATAATTATTTAATAAGGTGGCCTCCCCACCTTTTAGTAGAGGCAGGACATAAGCTGACTTCCATACTTTAGGAATTGTGTTTGTGCTGAGGGAGAGGTTAAAAAGAGAAGTAAGAGGTGGAGCAATAAAATCTGCAGCTATCTTTAAAAAGAAAGGTTCTACGTTGTCCGGGCCAGCCGGTTTCTTAGGATCTAACTTAAATAATGCTTCATGAACAACATTAACAGTAAAAGGAGTAAAACTGAAAGGGTTTTCCAGACCACATTGTTCAGAGTCACAGACTGTGGTGTTCACAGAAGCAGAGTTAGTCACAGAATCAAACAGAGAGCCACAGGACACAAAATGCTCATTAAAGCAATTTAACATGGTGGCCCTGTCCGATATAGAGCCAGATGCTGTGGTAATGCACGGAGGTAGCTCATTTCGGATATCACCAGTGGATATCGATTTTATGGCTTTCCAAAATTTCCTAGGATTATTTAGGTTTTCTGTAGTAATTGACAAATAGTACTTTGACTTAGCGCTTTTGACATGTGAAGTGAAGCTATTCCTTAGCTGCCTAAAACGTAGCCATTCTAACTCTGAGCCTGATTTCCTAGCCTTTGCCCAGGCCTTGTTTCTCTCATGCAGGAGACTAGACAGTTCAGAAGAAAACCAAGGATTGTCTCGTCCCTTTACTCTAAATGTACGCAGGGGTGCATGTCTATCAATGATCTCCATAAAACCAAGATACAAATAAGACCATGCAGTTTCTACCAGAGATGGAGTACTCGAGTCCTGGACTCGGACTCGAGTCGGACTCGAGTGCCGATTTTCGGGACTCGTGACTCGACTGGACTCGCGCATTGATTGACGCGTCTCGGACTTGGACTTGTCAATTCTCGCGCACGATGACTTGGACTCGGACTCGTGAATGTTCCCCCCCACGATGACTTGGACTCGGACTCGGACTCGTAAATTCTCGCTTACAATGACTTGGACTCGGACTCGTGAATGTTCCCCCCCACGATGACTCGGACTCGGACACGTACATTGACGCTCCGACTTGGACTCGGACTCGAGCAAGTTTTCTCTGGAGTCTGATGTCCTCTATCCCTGCGTGTGCACCTGCGAGGCAAGTTCACGTACTGGGCCCCGCTATTCCAGTCTAAAGATGTCTAGAGACACACCCCGCATCGTGCTGTATGCTTTCACACATTCTGCTTCCACATTGGAAAAGAGCAGCGCAAAATGCTCGTTATGTGGAAAAAATATTGAAGAGAAGAGAAGGCTCCATAACACATTACTCTAAGGATCGAGTTCAGACATATAGGCTGTCTTGAACACTATCATCAGAGTAACGTGATCTAATCAATAAATAAAGATTCAGCCGATAACACGAAAGCACATGGCTACTTAACATGCAGAATGAGTCATTTTGCATGCTAAGTAGCCATGTGCTTTCTGGGGCTCAATCTTTATCGGTAAACCGATTTAACCGGTAAAAGTTCCTTCAAAATAAGAGTCCCGATCTTATTACTATCAAAATAAAAGTGCAAAACGAAAACGTTACCATAGGAAAATATTGGATTACAAATATAATCACTTCTCTAAAAGGTAACTAATTTGAAATATAGTTAGACATATTATGGGTCATTTACAATAATAATAATAATAATAATATTAGTAATAAGCTTTATATATTTGTATAGCACCTATTACAAGAATTGTAGCCAAACTGGCTTCACAGCAGTTCAATAGACAGATTAGTATAACATGACAGGATAAAAGCAATGTAGAGGGGCAGCTACATTTCAACACATATATCCACGAAGATTAATACATGAAGACTTGTGACTCGGACTTGACTTGGACTCTTCTTAGGTGACTCGGACTTGGACTCGGACTCGAACACAGGTAATGATGACTCGGACTGGACTCGGACACTCCTTGGGTGACTCGGACTTGGACTCTGACTCGAACACAGGTAATGATGACTCGGACTCGACTCGACTCGGACACTCCTTGGGTGACTCGGACTTGGACTTGGACTCGAACACAGGTAATGATGACTCGGACTCGACTCGACTCGGACACTCCTT